CATGGTATTTTCAATAACCTCATATGCATGTGAAAGCTGGGCAGTGAATAAGGAAGACTGTAGAAGAACTGATGCTTTTGAATTATGGTGTTGCAGGAGAATATTGAAAGTGCATGGCTGCTAAAAGAACCAAAAGATTCGTTTTGGAAGAAGTACTGCCAGAGTGCTCCTTGGAGGCCAAGATGGCCAAACTTCATCTCTTATACTTCAGACATATTGTCAGGAGGGACCAATCGCTTGAAAAGGATATCATGTTTGGTAAGGTGGAGGTTCAGAGAAAAAGAGGAAGACCCCGAGCGAAATGCATTGGCCAAGTTGCAGCATTGATGGACTCAAGTGTGGCAACAGTAGTGAGGTTGGCCCAGAATCGGGCAGTGTTTCGTTCTGCTGTGCATAAGGTCGCTATGGGTCAGTACCTACTCGATGATACCTAACAACAACAACAATATAGCTTTCCATTATATGCACATTGTAAAATTAAACTATTTTACAGAGATTTGGCTTGTTTTTAGTACAGGAATATGATGTATATGCTTCTTTTTTAAAAAAAAAAACAAACAAAAAGAAAACTTCTATTATGAATTGAGTGTTGGTTACATGGGAGAACATCAGTATTGCACTCAATTTATCTTATTTTGTTTCACTGCAATGATTACAATCTCCTCCATATTATCATTGATTCATTGGTTAACAGTATTTGCTTCTATTCCTTCTGTTTTGTTTTGTTTTTTGATGTACACAAAAACACAAAGGAATATATAATTGTTCAAACAACCAAACGGCATATTCTGCAAGCCTGCTTCCTGGCCGCCAACACACAGCCTTTCTCGTCCCATGAATCTAGCATCCTCAGCTGCTCTATCTCTCCACGCCATCACCTCTGTCTCTGTCTCTGGTGTCACTACTTCTCTGGTCAGGGTCCTACGTTCGTTCCCCTGTTCCCCTCATGCTTTTCTCTCTTGATGGTCTTAGGTTCCTCTGTTCCTGGAATGTAAGATTAACTACTCCCTCCTTTTTCATTACACAACTTTCACTTTTACAGTTGTGACAATTGCAATTTATTATGATAACAGTTACTCACTACTGAATCAAATTAATCCTATGCTCATCTGTCACCAGAACCATCCGAATAACATGAAAACTATTCAGTGGGGATTCTACCTTCCCTCACATACTCTGAAACTAAACTCCCTCTTTAAAACTTGTAAGCCAGCCACTTTGTGCCTTTATAGCCATCCCCATTTTAGGTAGCCAATATCTAAGTTACCTGTCCCTATCAACCCTGTGTACAGAGGAGATAGGTTTGATCATTGATGTGAAGACTCCTTGCCTCTTAGTTCGTATTTTAAGTTACTACATCTGCAAGTTTAGACGTGCTTGTGCATCTCCCCCTGCTTGATATCAGCAGGATGCTTCACTCTCAGCACTAGGCTCCAAGGCTAGGTCATTGTCCATCGGCTGAGGATTTCCCAAGTCTCCCCAAACCTGGGACCAACCAACCCCTCGTCTCTCGTCTCAAGCTCAACAGGAGTCTATGGAACATGTTTGAACTCAGCCTATCATATCTTCATCACTAACTTTCTCCCATTTCTACTCACATGATGACCAATGCGGTCACCAGAAAGCTTAGATGCCTGCTTGTGTGTTCCCTTTAAGTTTCAATCTTGGAGTGGGGTTTGTCCTGAAGAGTCTTGATTTACATGCCTTAAGGGCAACTCAGTGACCAGCTAGCTTGTTCTTGTAATAGCCAAACAGAGAGCTGTTTTTTTCCCTGCTGATTGTACATGCTTCTTATGAACATTTCTGTGCATATTAATTGGTGCAGATGTGCATGTGTGTCTGTTGGACATATCACA